AACGAAATCAAACAAATAAACGAAAGTAAACAACTAAGCATCTTAGGACGACATTCAGTAGCTTTTGAAGGAGATCAGGTAATGAACTATTCACAATCCCCTTATTGATCGGGATCTGGATCTTGATCTGAAATAGTTAATGAATGAATGAGCTCACTAACTCTAGAAAAATATCACACCACTCATCAATACAGAAAATAAAAGTTGGTAAAAATTATAAAAATAACCAATGAAGTTCCTAGTGTAAGTAAATCTATTTATCATAAGTAAAATCATTTATTGCATACTTACTGTTGCGAGATTTTCAAAATCGACCTATAGAGACAATAACTCAACAACATCATAATCTCATATTCAAGTAATCAAGAATAACAACTTTTTTTTTGTCTACTGATATCCATGGCGGTTCATAGAGATGTTCCCTTGCACGTGAACCAATTCCATAACAGGTAATAAAGTGAGGGATTCTTATTCGAATCGGTGTTTGAAACAATGAACTTTCAGCTGCACCTACTGGCGGTCCCCAGATTTCTTAAATTTTTTTACAGAGATTAAAATACGCTTCATGTACTTTAAAAATACTCTAAAAAATCTAAAATCAGTATTAAAAATCTTTTCTGGCTAATTTCAAAATTCCAGCATGACGACACCGCTACCCGCGACGGTTGTTTGCCTCGGCTTGGCTATTTTTATCTAGTTTTGGTCAGTTTTATACACATCCCTACGAGAAAACACATTAGGGGACCTCGGTTGGCTAAAAAAAGTCAAAAAAACCAAAAATCTACCAGCGGTTAGATTTTTCAGTGCGGCAGTTCCATCGGCTTACCTTCGTGGCTGAGTGTTTTTCTTCGATGAACTTGTAGAAAAAAAAAATGGTGAACACAATGGTAAAAAAATCGTACGAAATAGGAAACGAAAATGGGCTCATCGGAGGCGATTTTGGATTTTGCTCGCGGCGGCGGTGCCAAGCTTTGCTCGCATTTTTCGTCTCATCTGTCATTCCTTTTGCTATGATTTGGCTATGAGGTTATTTGAAATTAAATTTCAAGCTGATAGGAGAATTTTTACCATTTTGGCGGTCGGAGGTGGCTTCGGCGTGACGGCGATCGACTCTCTTCTCCAACGACTGGTTCTTCTTCTTCAGCGGGAGGTTGGCAGCTAGGGTTTAGGTTCGGTGTGATGCGAGATATTTATGTATGTCTACCTTAAATTTAGACCGTCCGATCGCGTTTGATCTAAACCATCCGATCGCATTTAAAGAAGAAATAAATTTGAACTGTCTATCACGATTTAATGTCAACCGTACGATCGCGTTTAAAAAGAGAAATAATATGGGCCGTTGATCGCGTTTAATCGCGACCGAATGGTCACGCCTGAGGAGAGAACGGATTCGGACCGTCCATGCGCGCAGGAACGCATCCGGGTTGTCCGATCGCGGGCACATAGATTGGCAGCGTGGCCTCCCGCGTGGCACTGAGTCAGCATACCTTGTCACGTGGCGTGCTCCGTTTGTTGGGGCTGCTGACTAGGCGGTCTTACGTGACGTAAATTTTTTTAATTGTGTTTTGATCTCCAGTTTTCAATTTTTCTTTCAAAGACACTATCCAAACCCAAATTTTTACATTTTTTTTCTAAAATTATTTTCAATTTCATCTTTAACATAGTTTTTTCTAATTTTACATTAAATAAAAATTTATAAATTTAAAAATTACATTTATATATATATTTTTAATTTTATAATTAATTTCGGACCAAATTTTGGACCCGAGTATTACATAAACTACCGAAATTTATTTTTTCATCAGTTTTTAGATTTTATTCCTAAAATCTACGGATATAAAAATGCGTTTTAAATTTTTAATTGATTTTTTTAATGCTTATAGAATTTTAGTATTTAATATCCATACACCTTATTTGCAAAATGGATATATACTAACTATATCTTTTAAAATTAATAATTGGAAAAAATTAAGGTATAAATTTACACATTCAACTAATAGCCAAAAGGATTGTAATATGTTATATCAACATGCAGCTACTATAAATAGATGATTTCGAATGGAAGTCAACAGTTTTGAGCTTTAAGACAATTTTAATTCAAGATTTTAATAATGATAGTTTAAATTATAAAAAGTTATGTATACAAATTCTATACTATGGAGTCTTTTACTTAAAAAAAAAAAAAAAATTTACAACAGAGTCATGTGTATATATATATATATATTTAATCAAGTAAAATACCAAGGTGTAAGGAAATACCATACTTATTTTTTTTTCTTCTTCTTTGATTTAGTTCACTATTATTATAAATATTATGTATATATATATAATAAAAGAAATAACATGTAATAAAATAGGTGGCAATATATGATTTACTTTGTATAATATAACATGTGGCAAAACATAATACATTAAAGAATTGATATGTGGCATAACACATAAAACTAAGTTAATTAAGAATTAAATACTATTAAATGTACAAATCTAATTCAACCAAATGTGCAAATTAAATAATAAATTGCTACATCAAACTGTAAAATGATGGCAAGCATGCAAAATATTATATAATAGGCGTACTTTCCAAGTATATCATCCCAAAAATTAATATTTTGTAAAAATTTACATCTAAAATAATTAGTTTGCTAGCAAAAGTATATAAAATAATTTATTGAGCTAGCAAATATTTAAACTCCAAATGATAAATATTTAATTTACTTTGTTAATATTGAACAATTTAAAAAGTTATAACAAAGAGTGGGAGAGAGTATGCAAACTTGCTTTCTAGAGGTTCGAACATAATTTGTGTTTACGTCAATATAAGATGTTTGTTAATAAGGTCTCCAACTTGTATTTTATACATATTTTTCTTAATTGTAATTATTTGTATATTATTGTGTTAAACTCATATTTTATATGTATTAACCTTAATATAAATGTTTATTATGTAAATGTTTAAATTAAAAATTAGTTTATCTATTAGTAAGTGAGAATAAAACTAAATAGAAACTAATTAACTGTTCAAATTAAATTGTTAAAAAGATTAAAAAAAATGGATCAATCAATTATATCGATTAAGAACCAAATAATTGATCTTTAATCAAGAACAACTGAAAATCAATTTATTTTTTAATTAATATATTATATTTTTATGATTTTATATTCATATTATATATATGATATATATAAGGATTTAACAACAATCCAGTTTATTAATATATTATTATCAGTTTTATATATAAGGTTAATTATGTATATGTTCATATATTTACAGATTAATAAATCAAATTGATATATGTAAAGTGTGAAAACAGAAAAAAAAAGCTCTTTTGTAATTTGATTGTTTAGATTCAAAACCGAAATGATTGATCTTAATTAGTCACATAATTTTAATTAATTAATCTGATTTTAATTAAATTTATTAAAATTAGTCGATATTCTTCTTCGACTATTATTTTATATAATTAAATATGTATTTAAATTATTAATCTTATTTAATCAAACTTTACATTAAATATAGATTTAAACACGTGATATCAATCCTACCACCTCACAATTATTTTATAACTTAACACAGAATTTGTGTTAATTACCCTCTAAATTATTTTTATTTTTTGAGCTCTTTTAAATTATTTTTCAATCATCAATGTTTTACGTTTTTTTTAATATATTTAGTGTTTTATATTTTATTTACATTATATTTAAAAGTTAAAATATATTTTAACCATTTTTTAACCCATAAAAAAAAAAAAACCTGATCATTTCAAAGCATACAAAGCGGGACCTCCATTATTTCCCTTTTAAATTTCTTCAAATCAAATTCTTCTTGCCGCAAGCCCTGCGAAATTACAATATGACCCCCTGACCATCTTCTACAGGTTACTGTACGGATGTATCATCTCTATGCTCTTAAGTTAACATTCTGCCTTCTACCTTCGGCCGGCCGTTACTTTGTTCCTCCCTCTGAAGCATTGTTAGATCTGTTTATCATATCTCTCTGAATCTTGTTTCTTTTTATTTTTTACTCTCTCTCTCTCTCTCTCTAATAGTAGGTGCATGTCATCCAATCACACGAGTACGGTGTTCTATTCAGATTTACGACTTCTTGATTCAGTCTTGAACTGAAAGTGAAAGCCTAGGCTGTTGGGCAATTCAGAGTTTATTAGCTATTTTGGCGACTTCTCCCTTCGGTTTCTCTCTACAAAGCTAGGGTTTTAGAATGATGGAGCTCTACGGTCTTCCTCATTCTTAACTAAGTCTGTTTCGAAATATCATCTCATGATATTTTTTAGATGTAAAATATCAATTCCAACATAGTCATCCGAAGAAAGGCCTGATTTGGAAATTTACGACGTTTGGTAAGTAAAATGCAGACCTCATCAAGCTTGACAGCCCAGCCGGAGGCTATTGTGGATTGGCTTCAGAAGGAAATGGGATATAGACCGTTGGGTCCGTACAGTGCATCTAGCAAATCGCACTCGCCTTCAGTTGATTCACTAAGAAAGATTTGCAGAGGGAATATGATACCGGTGTGGAGTTTCTTGATTAATCGAGTGAAATCGGAGAAAACTGTAGAGAATATAAGGAGAAATATAACGGTCCATGGGGGTAGTAGTGATGGTTCCAGTGGCATTTCGGTTGGCGTTGGAAAAGAGGAGAGTAAGACTAAGGGAAGGAGGAAGGACAAGCAGCTTTCAGGGGAGAGTTCCAATGTGGCCGAGAGCAGGGAGGTGGCATTGCAAGAGAAAGAACTGGCTGCAAAGGAGGTCGAGAGATTGAGGAACATTGTGAGGAGGCAAAGGAAGGATTTGAAGGCCAGGATGTTGGAGGTTTCAAGGGAAGAAGCTGAAAGAAAGAGAATGCTGGACGAGAGAGCTAATTACAGGTTTGGTACTTTGAACTTATTTAATGGGAAAATTTACTAGTCGAGGTTTTTCAGAAGTTTCTGGAGACAAATGGGAATGGAATTCTCAGATGTCCTATAGCGACATGGACTATCTTGTATGCTATGGATTCTTTGTGATTGCAAAAGTATCTTTGTTTTGCACTTATAGTCAATGATAATTTAGATTGGTTTTCTTTTATCATTTTCATTCCCTGAGCAACCGAAATGGTTGGATTAATTGAAGCATGCACCAAATGGTAAAAGGATACTTTGAACATTTTGAACCTCTAATATATTCCAATAAGGTGTGAAGTTTATGGTCTCTATTAATCTGTTCATTGTTCTAATTTTCTCGCCTTAATTCAGTTTCAATGAGTTCTTCCTGCTTGTTACTAGCTATTGGATGCGAAGAAGCCTTTAAAGGTGAAAATTCTACTGTGGTTAGTGCCAATTCACCTTACTTTGGTAGGGATTGTAGCCTTTTAAAGGTGCTTCATTAAATCAATGATTTTGATGCATGCTTTGCCATGTAATGTTGCATGGATCAACAATATCCTGCAAAATAAGTATTGTTTTTTCATGTTTCATGATGGTGTTTGGTTGATTTGTAACAGGAGCAAGTTGTGGTAATCGAGTTATATTGTCTATTTCTTCCAAAGTAAACTGCAGTTTAATGTCTCATTTTGGTGCAGGCATAAACAGGTAATGTTGGAAGCTTATGATCAACAGTGTGATGAAGCTGCAAAGATATTTGCAGAGTATCATAAGCGTCTTCGACAATATGTTAATCAAGCAAGGGATGCTCAAAGGTTAAGCATTGACTCATCTACTGAAGTGGTTAACAGCGTCAATGCACACATTGAGAAGGAAGCTGTGTATTCAACTGTTAAGGGAAATAAATCTGCTGATGATGTCATTCTAATTGAAACAACTCGGGAAAGAAATGTCAGGAAGGCATGTGAGTCTCTTGCAGCAAATATGATTGAAAAAGTACGCAATTCTTTCCCAGCATATGAAGGAAATGGTATTCATTTGAGTCCTCAGTTGGAGGCTGCCAAGTTAGGCTTTGAATTTGATGGGGAAATACCTGATGAAATTAGAACTGTTATTGTCAATTGCTTGAAGAATCCTCCTCAGTTGCTTCAGGCAATTACTACATATACCTTACGGCTTAAAACTCTGATTTCAAGAGAAATAGAAAAGATTGATGTTAGAGCAGATGCAGAAACCTTAAGGTGTTTTAATGACTTCTCTCCATTTCTTCTATGCTTTTATTCATGTCTGTGCACATCCATACATCTTTGAGAGAATATTATTCACATTTTATATTTATTGTATATCTATCAAATTCTACAATCGATGTCACATTGTGATACTGTAATTTGTTTTTGCAATCAATCGGAAGCACCAATTTACTTTCTCTAAGTCTGTGTGCACTTGCACATATTTCTTAGTTTGCTAAAATGGTTTTGTCTTGCCATTGAGGTGGGGATACACACCTACCAATTTGTTTAATTGACCATTTAACTACTATTTAGATAAACTCAAAGATACTTGGTTCCGGACACCTAGGTTTTCTGATTAAGGGTTATTCTCTTTATTCTTGTGAGGATCTTGGGGACCTTCTACATATTTTGCATAACACGTAAATCTTCTATGCAGGTTGCATCCCCTTGGTACATGTGAATAGATGATATTTTTTCTTTCAAAAAGAATTTAAGTACTACTTATGTTTGACGGTTCCTTCTCTTGAATCATTCTTTTCCTTTCCTTCTCTTTCATTAATAACTGCTCCAAATTGGTTTTCTTCATGTCTTTGGTCATTCCGATATTCCATTTTCCTTATTCTCTTTTTTTCCCTCAATAACTGTTATGAATTTGTTTCCATTGTGTCCAAGTTGCTCCTTGTGATTCTTAGCCATTTTCAATGATTACTTTGTTCTAAAGATGCATGTTGTTTTTGTATATTCATGTAACCATCCTTTGGTAAGCTTCATTTTTGCTTCATTGATTTATCTTTTGTAGGTTTCTTCCTTTCCTTATTGATTTGTCTTTTGGTAAGTTCTATTGTTGCTACCTGATTTATGGACAGCTGTAAGTCAAAGCTCTTTATTGTCTTGCATAGGTACAAGTATGAGAACAACAGAGTTATGGAAGTTTCTTCCCCTGATGCAAGCTCGCCATTAAGTTACCAACTTTATGGTAATGGGAAGATAGGGGCAGATATACCTTCTAGAGGAACTCACAATCAACTTCTTGAGAGACAGGTATTACTTTGTTTTTTCTTTTTTTTCTTTTTTGCCTATCTTCTAAGCAATTCATCTTTTTTCTTTATGCAGACAAGTTTAAAGGAGACTTTTAGGATCTACACCTTTACTTCAGTTCAAAAGTCGTTTTAATTTAGACAATATGAGAAACCTACTAGCTTCTCTCCTGTCAAATCAAAGAATACAAAGCTATTTTTTTCATTATTCAATTTAAACTCAAAGAACCACTCGAGTTTTTTAAGGGGAATAGTTCTTGCTTAATACTATTTTACACTTTATAGTCATGGAACAAACCTATATAACCTGAGCAGACGGTCTTAGTCTAGTCAATTTCACGACGGGTTTTTTCCTCTCTGTGTTTGCTGCTTTATTCATAATCATTTTCTTTGGGGTTATTTAATTGATTGTATATGTTATCTACAGAAAGCACATGTGCAACAATTTTTGGCTACTGAAGATGCACTGAACAAAGCTTCTGAAGCTCGAAATTTGTGTCAGAAACTTATAAAACGTTTACATGGATCAAATGATATAGTTTCTTCGCACTCACTTGTTGGAGGCACATCACAGAATGTTGGCAGTCTTAGGCAATTTGAGGTAATTCTATCAATTTCAGGGTAATTAATCACCCGTAGTTTGAGTTGACCATTTTCATAGTGTTGGTTCTGAATCTTTTAATCCCCATTGCGGTGCGTGCAGCTTTATGTGCATGTTTGTGTGCATCAAGTTAACTTTTACCTAATTATGTATTTTTTTTATATGAAAGACCTGATTATATTGAGATAGAATTGATCTAACATTTTCTCTTATTGAAGTGACCTAATTTTTCTTTCAATAGAATAGATATAATGATAAATAGCATGTTGATTCTTGAGAATTCCCACAGAGATTAGGTACATATTTTGGATTTGATGCCTCACATTTGAGAATTGTGAAAAAATATTGAATGGTCTTTAGGTGATTTGCTACTAAGGATTAGTTGAGGAGAGACAATCAATGACAATCTTGTGAGGAGATCAACTTTAGTCTCTCTTATGTGATTATCAGAATATAAGCGGAGTTTCATGAGTAAATAAAATAATTCTACTTGTTTATCATTAGAATCTGAGCTCTTCTTTGTAAGCAAGCAGAATGGAATTCTTGGAGGGATAAGAAGTGAAGAGAAGATGAGGGTTCAGGTTTATGAAATTGTTCTTGATTGGCTGGAATCCAGATGGTTCTGCGGCTGCTTAACAAAAATACTGGATGAGGGGATTATTTTGTTCTCCAGTGTGTACGGTGCTGATTGTTACTGAATTGCATAAAAAAAGAGGGGGTCATTTGTTGTCATTGTCTAAATATGGAGTAGATCATGGCACACCGCGGGTCTGTTTTCCAGCAGAAAGAAAAAAGAGGATGGAAAGAAGTGTTAGCGTTGATTAGTGACACACTGTCCAGAGGAGTGGAGGCGGGAGAAGCACAAAGAAGGGGGAGGAAGCAATAGGGGCGTGCCCAGTTTTCGGCCACTGTGCAACCTGTAGGTGGTGGAAATAATGGGGGAGGATTTGTGGGCAGTGATTCGATTTTCAAATGGGTCAAAATATTAAACCCAAAATCTTATTCAAACTTCAACAGAAGATTGTGAAGGAGGATTTTGTGAGATTGAGGGATATCCCACTGGTAGTTAATATTGATCAAGAAGGAAAGATAACAGATAGGTGGGGCTATAAGAATCGTCAGTCAAATATACAAAATGGGTTGGGCCGTGAAGCCTAAAATTTGGCTCCTCAAAATAGCATCATTGGGCCTTTGATAGGTTTTTGTGCCTGTTCCAAAACAGGCTCGAACACCCAACAGGCTAGGGTTTGGAGACCCAGACCTTCAACCCGATTCAGCACTTCACAGTCTCACTTGTTGCTCCTCAGCCCAAACCCAATGTTCCATCTTAACCAAAACCCGCAACAGAAGAGATGAATGCTGCCGCCAGTCAAAGGAGGCTGAAACCCATTATTGTTGTTGACCCTTCTTTTCTTGTAACGGTGCCACTGGAGACGTCCTCTTTGGCCGGTATTACACCTACAGCTGGAGATGGTATTATTGGAGGTGTTATTTCTTGTGGCGGTGCGGTGGGAGATTTGACAAAATATCAGCTTTCCAAGTGGCAACATAGAGGAGGATTAGAGGTGGGGAGTCGGTTTTTGACCAGGAAAATTTTTTGGAATGGGTGAGGGAACAAATTAGTGAGCTGAAGCAAATATAGAAACCCAAAGACAAAACAAAAGGCTAAAGGGGTTGGTGGCAGGGGGAAAAAAGAGACAATAACACAGATTCCATATCCACTGTTGATTCTTCAGAACTGATAATCTTAAAGGACGAAGAAGAGTATGGGGAGGATCTATGCCAGGAGAAGGCTAATTGCAAAAACATAAATGATATATGGGAGGGGCTACAATTTATTGTGGATAATACAACAGAGGTGGGGTAATGTTTGTGCAAGGGTAAACAATCAAGAAAGTGATGAGCCAAGAATACAAAGTGGCCCAAATAAATGTACAATATGCAAGAAGAAAACAATGTTTATTCCTAGTAAACTGTGTGTCCCTGAGTAAGTTTTCTAACCTAAGTTCTTTTCCTACCTTATGTGTGTCTCATGAGTTAAAGGTAAAGGTATTTATGTGGATAGCCATGCATCAAAGGCTCAACACTAAGGAGATGCAAGTCCGATGATCAAACCATGCAAATCTCTAGACATCTTCCTAATCTGCGCAATATCAATTGCAAAGTTGCTCGGAAGCTTTGGTCTAATTATCAACTCTCTTTAGCATTAGGTCACTCCTCCTACGGTTGAAAGGCTTTTAGGGGTGTACTTTAAGGGTTATGGAGTGATAAAGGAAGCAAAACTTTTGCAGTGAGGGGCTATCGGCTTATGGACAATATGGCTTGCACGAAATCGAAATTTTTTTGTCAACTGCACGTTGTTCCATGAGATATGGATAGGGTGACTTTTTGGCATCGTTATGGGTCAAGGCGTGTGAAAAATTCTCTACCTATTTCCGAACTCCATTGGAACTAGGAGATCATTATTTCGGTCATTAATTTAGTATATTCTTAATGAAATTTACTTATTTATAATTTTTTGGGCTTACTATTATCTGTAATATCTGAGGGTATCTCTTCCTCATTTCTTTGTATTGATTTCCTCTTACTGTAATAAATCTTCTTTTTCAATCCCAAGAAAAAAGTATTGAATGGTCTTTAGAGCTTTCCACTTCCATTTTGTACTTTGATGCTAAAATGTGTGTTTTACCTATTCATTCTTTTCTGATTTTGCAGTTGGAAGTTTGGGCAAAGGAGAGAGAAGTTGCTGGTCTGAGGGCTAGCTTAAATACGTTGATATCTGAAATACAACGTTTGAATAAATTATGTGCAGAAAGGAAAGAAGCTGAAGATTCTTTGAGAAAGAAGTGGAAAAAGATTGAAGAGTTTGATGCCCGCAGATCTGAGCTTGAAACCGTATGTACTTCTCTCCTGAAGGCTAACATGGTAAGATGCTCATTTCTTTCTCTTTGGATTCATGGTGAGATATTCTTTTTTTTTATATATATATATTTCTTCTCAAACTAAGAATGCTGCACGTAGTATGGCCTTGCTTCAAAATGAATTTGAAAACTTGATAGATTCATTGCTAAGATTGCTTACTATGGCCTTCGGTCCATATGCATGCGAGTTATCGAACATATCCAATTTAGTTGATGTGGGTGTATATATTATGTGTCCTCTGGTGTGTCTGGATGTTACTGACTTCGCTTAATTCACTGCATTAACTTTATAAAGAGACTGTAATTTGTATTATGTACATTTGATATTGTATGTTAATCAAGGAAAGCTGTAATGGACTGGATTGTTATGGTAAATAGCATTAGTTTCAATTGTATGTTGCGGCTATATTAGGGGCTTATACCAAGCTAACTTTTCTTGTAAGTTAGTAAGTCAGTGGAGAAAAATCAAGAAATCATTTGGAGGTGTGCCTCCTAGCATCTTAACTGTTCAACTGAATATTCTGCCTGCTGTTTGCTTATATTACCATGTACACTAATATAATTCATATAATGAGGATAATTAAACATTTGAAACCGGTAGCTGCAATTTTTTCTGCTTATTTCTTTTCACCTTTTACCATCAATATGCAAAAAGACTTAGGATACTGATGCTGGGCCCTAAGCCTCATTTTGATTCTTTTCTTTCTTTTAAAGTATACCTTTTGGAGGACCTGATCTGATTTGTTGCTTTGCCATTTTTGTTTCTGATTCATTGGGTTTGTACATCTGTATATGTGAATCTTTCATTTACTGAAAGCTGCATTTGCAGCTATTTGGTAATATTTACTCTTTATTTGGCTAATGTGACGAATCAAGTGTGAATTTGTTTGTGTCTTCATGCAAGGACGTACACTGTTTCTTAATACTCAATATATATTTGGAAAGTCAATTGTTCCCAACAAATGTTCATTTCAAATTAAGATACATAAATAAGTCTTAAGCTGATGAATTTTTTTGTGTAGGATGCAGCTGCATTCTGGAATCAGCAGCCACTTGCTTCAAGGGAGTATGCATCGAGCACCATCATTCCAGCATGCAATGTTGTTGTGGAAATTTCAAATAGTGCAAAAGATCTCATCGAACAAGAAGTTTCTGCTTTTTATCGAAGTCCTGACAATAGTCTATATATGCTTCCATCAACCCCGCAGGTTTGTGAGAGAACAAACCTAAAATCTGATACTCGGGCATAATGAGCTATTATATTAAAGATGACAAGGATTTGTTGGTCTAACCAAGTTGAAGGAGATCAATTCTCTTGTTAAATCCCTAAAGACCCTGTAGAGATGATATGAAAGAGTATTTGTTCTATTCTGGTTATAGCTTAAAATTAGGCCGAAGCAGGTGGCATTTGGGAATTCATTTCTTCTATCAGCATGCTTAGGCAGCATTTTATCTCTCTCCCTAAATCTTTTCACATTCTCAGTTGCTTTCTACATATTGCATTTTTTATCCCCACCGTCATGCATTATAGTAACTGTAAACTTTAGCCATGAAAAAAAAATTGCTTGTTCTGTAAAATTTGTTTATGAACA